CTGGGCTCTCCCAAGGTTTTTTCTCCATCCAATCTGATGGAGTTTTGGTTCCTTGCCACTGTCGCCTTGCTTTTGGCTTGCTCAGTTGGGGTTATTTAGTGTTTAGCAGTATTATTGATCTGTGTTGTACTACTTTCATGTTATCACTGTGAAGCTGCTTTGATACAATCTGTATTGTGAAAAGCGCTATATAAATAAATGTGACTTGACTTGACTTGAGCTTTTATTTAGTAGGCTTTTCCTACTCACTTTTTTTCCCCAATAAAAAAAATAAAAAAAATAAGGCTGAATCAGACTAATCGGCAGTGTTGGGGAAGATACTTTTAAAAGTAATGCATTACAATATTAGTTAATAAGTTCAATTTTCTTACTTTTGCAAACCCTTAAATTTTGATGTAAATTTAAAAGTAATCCATTACTTAACTAGTTACTTGAAAAAAGTAATCTGATTACTTGAACTGCATTACTTGTAATGCGTTTACTTCAACACTGCTAACGGGTAATGTTTAATCAAACTGTCTAACCTTGTTTTACAGGCTTCAAGATGCCTATAATGAACACATGAACTAAAATTTTGGAAATTCTGTCATTATTTACTCCCTCATGTTGTTCCAAGCCTGTACTGTACATTATTCACGCTTCTCTCTTCTATCAGTTCTATACAATATTAGTGGATGGTAACCAGGAGCAGCCATTTCTGCTTCGTTTGAAAACAGATTGTAACTGTACGTTTTTATGTAATCTGGGTTTTACAGCTGTGGTCATCATTCACTTTTTAATTTTATAAAGAAGAGCATCTTGGACATTCTACATAACATTTCCTTTGTTGTTCCACACTATATTGTCCATCATATGGGTTTAAAACTACATAAGGGTGGATGTGTTTCAAAATATTTCAATTTTTGTATAAAGGATTAATAACCGAGTTGAACAGATGAAAAGGCCAGACAAACTTAAGTCCATTTTTTATTTTTTTTCTAACTGCAGATTTAAGGAATACAACTGAACATTGTTATTTTGAGACTCATAAATAAAAAAAAATACAAAAAAACACTACAAAAACAATCTACTGTTAGTAGGATGTAAAAAATATCTTTCACTATTAAAGGCACAAAATTTACTTAGTGACAACACTGAGAAGAAAACCTGCAGCATTCAATCTCTTTAAATTCTTTATTTTTTCACACTCCATCAGAGAACACTGAAATGTTACAAAGAGATGTGTCTGATCCTACACTGAAAGAAAGACTACATCAGGAAACTGATGCCAATATCTGTAGCACAACATACAGAAAGTAGTGCTACAAAAAATAGCATGTTGCTGGAGAAGACAAAGGACCGCTGCAAAGCTCTAATGCAAAAAAAAAGTGTACAATTGACAACAAACAGAAAAAAAAAAAAGAAAAATTGGGCACCTTCTAAGTTTAGGCTAAGATTAGGTGCTGAGGTAGACGTAACTATAACAATTCAAATAATAATAATAGAACAAACAAAAATAAAAACCCCAGAAACAAAACACTATATTCTTAAAGAGCAACAGGACTGGCACTTGTGCTGTCACATTGGGGGAGAAAAGAAAATCCAGACAAGCCAGTAAAGGAGAGGGGGATACAGTAGAGATGGGGAAGAGAAACTGATTTGATACATAAGAAGCTTTACGCTTGGTCCGACAGGGCAATTGGTCCTCAGTGCTAAAAAAAAATAATAAAAAAAATAAAAAATAAAATAAAAGACGTCTTGGTGCTTTGTTACTCAAACAGTTTAGTTTTGACCTCAATGGCACATGCATGGCAACACAGCATGAAATGGCTACTCTTTCTAGAACACCACACTGGAACACAGTGAGCCAACTCCAGGGATGCAATGATGACATGTGGCGAACCGTTTCTTTAACATAAGTACTTTAAACAACAAATAAGACATGTCTAGTAGGGGCAGTACAAACACATCCATCAACAACTCGCCGAATGTTAAAAGGACGTTGTTGAAAGGTTTAATCAGCAAACCCGTTGCTGAGGCTAAAAAAACAAATCAAAAACGAGGAAATGAAAGCAAGTTTGATTCTCAAACATTAAGTTTTCCCTCTCAAAGCAGGATATTCATTGTGAAAAATGCACATATTCCTATCCAAGGAATGTTTCCAACCGTGTATAAAACACTACAATGGTGTTGCATTCGATCGGTCGCCAGTGGAACCACTGCAAATAGACCAAATGATAATTCTAAAAGCAAGTGAATCGATCCGAGATCATCATGGCACCCCTGGAGCCCTGAAGACACCAATAATTTTCTTGAAAATACAGAAACTAAGCAGATATACTGTATGTGAACAATTTGTTGAACAATTTCATTTAGGCACAAAGATATTACAGAAACATCCGAAGAACATTGAGGGAAGAACTATATCAATGCCAATATTTTTTTTTTTAAATCATGGTGAGAGAAAAGTGGCATAGAACATGACTGTCAGATTAGTGCATTTGACACTAACACGCGCACTCACACACAATACACACTCTTTCAGTCTCAAACACACTCAAAGCAAAGTACAAAATCAAAGTGTTACACTAGCATGTGACTTAACATCTCGTATTGTTGCCACATATAGCAAAACTCTGTTTTACCCATTTAACATCAGTCGACATTATCCATTTACAGAACAAAATATATATTTCTGCCTTATTTCATGGAGCTACTAGTTTTTAAAATTCTCACAGGGGGCAAAAGATGCCCGAACTCACAGTGTTTTCCAGAAAACAACGGCAAGACACACGACAATTACGTTTCCTTTGATGCGTCTTCCCATCCCTTCTTTTTTTTTTAGTCACTTCAAGTAAAAAAACAAAACGTTGGCAACATTGATTGTTTTGTTTGAGAGATCGTGTGCAATGGAATTGATCATTGGCATCACCTCATTTTTCTTTTTTTCTTCGTTTGTTTGTTATTTTCACAAAGGAAAATGTGGCTGATTTAGTCCTTCACCTGCAATGTATTGACATCCAGAAAGCAACATTTACCACTATAGGATCACGCACTGTCCAACATTACAGAAGAGGAGCAAGGCAAACGATTCAAACCAGAGAATAATAATAATATAAAAAAAGAACTACAAAGTTTTGCCCCGCTGCAACCTCAACAAATGGAAAAAGGGACTGACACTTAATACAAAAATATCACAATTTTATATATCAAATGGCCTCTGTTGGCTCTTGCTCAGGACTACACTCATACAAAGAAACATGTCAACTGACAGGATTTGTTTTTTGTTTTTTTTCTTCCTTCCATCTTTGATTACCACTTGCAGTCCCAATTGTCCAACGCACAATGCACTGCTGCATATGACCTGTTCTCGGTGGCTCACGCTCTGTGAACCTTCTTTTTTCACATTACAAAACTACAATTCTATTCACATATTTTCAAGTTTAACATTTTGTTTTTTCAGACTTTAAAGTACTACACTTCACTTGTTCCATACGCACCTCCCAGATCGACTCCAACCCCGAACTTAAGGCTTCAGAAATCTCTTTTCTGCTCTTAAGGTTTACACGTTTACAGGGCTGAGGGGACTGTTAGGGAAAGTTATGACTTTTTTTTTTAATGTAATGTAATCCACCATCTTTTCCTATAAGCAAATCTTACCCTTTCATATTCGTTGCTTCCGACATACGACACTTGAAAGCGTGAGATGAAGTTGCAATAACGCAAAAATGTGCTTTTTGCAAACGAAACAACCCAAAAGAAAAACAAAACTTAGAGGTAGCTTACAAAAACCAACCAAACCCACAAGCTCTTCAACAAGCAGGGTTAGTAAAACAAACATAATACCAAGTTTGGTAATATTAACGCAAAGAAAATAAACGAAACAAAAAGACAAATAATCTCTCTTCACCATGGCACTTAATTTCTTAAGTACTTAAAAGCGCACGCCACTTCAAATCTCCCCTGCTCGAAGGACAAACGCAAAGCAAACAATCAAATACACAAAGGAAAAATTAAAAACACTAGCACATGAGGTCACAAAAAAACAAAAAAAACGAGGTAATTCAAGTACGATGTGCTGAAGTAAATCAAGGTAATAATAGGAAACGCAGACAAAGCGAAAGGAATCAAACCAAAAGAGTCGATCAGCTCTGTTCTCTCGTCCCAGCGTTCCCACCAACGAACACACGGATATGTGCGGACGAGCCCCTGGACGTCACAGTGCCGCTCGTCTACAAGCCACTGACAAAAGCAGCTTTAATCATCATTTTGGTCTCTATAACAACAGCATAAACAGTTGATTAGATGTCAAGAGTGTAATGGATGTTCTGTATGTATTGCCAAGTTTCAAACGGTTAACTGCTTTTCAGACTTGGGCGCAAAGAAAGAGCTTGTACTTGAGAAATCAGCATCAAACAAAAACTGTCGTCGTGAAGTGAAGTTGGCTTGTAATATGCGGTACGAAGCTATGCAGAGAGGAGAAAAAAAAAAAGTGAAATGACATTGATAAGTGGAGTACTGAGAGCTTTGCTGGTTTGTACACCAATAAGCCCTTAATGACTGTGAATCATATAGGAGGGCATCGTGAACGTGTTTTTGCAGGAAGCTTACGTCCCAGTTTGCAGCAATGACCCTGATGAACATGACGGTTCATATTTGCTGTGGAGTACCTGACTGGCACCTTACCACTGACGGATCTAAGTGCTTCGTGCACTGACGACTCACAGATAAACACCGTGTCTCGTGTACCAGGAGAGGGCGTCCTTACGAAGAGGAGGGATCATTGTTGAAGTGTGTTCGTTTGACTGATATAATAAGTGTATTAAGCGGACGTGTAGAGAATTAACATCCTATATGATCCGTGCTGTGAACGGACGAGCGGCTACAACGTGATGCTTTTTTTTTTTGCGATACTGATGGGTAAGATTTCTGTCTTTCTCGTTACCGTTCCCACTCCGACAAATCCGTCCATTTCCTGACTGTGTTTCCAGGTGCTTTAACCCCTCACCCTCCCACTCCCGTTCCCTCCCCGCTATCCCCCCCCATTCAGACATAGCAGAGGTATAGGTAAGTCTTCTCTATCCTCCAGTCCGGGGGGATGTCTTCAGGCTTGTGGCCCTTCATGTGCTTCTGCATGGCGGAGAGGCTGGGGCAGTATTCCAGGCAGATGGTGCACTGGTACGGAGAGGCTCCGTTGTGGGTGCGCAGGTGTTTGATCATGGCCGAGTAGTCCCTGGAGCGCTGGTGGCAGAGCTTGCACTCAAACGGCTTCTCACCTGCACAGAGAATACAAAATGTCAGGACTTTGCAAGACACGTCAAGAGATGTTGTACACTGGGTTCTGCTTTTATATTTGTGAACAGACAGGAATATTCATCTGCATGGAAACATTCCAACATTGCGGTTGCACTTTATTCCAGAGTCCTGTTCTGGATGTACATACTATTGGTGTGTTCACATGCTTTGGTAATTATGGTAAATATCAAAAGCCGACGTGGAAAATGCACATGAACACCCCCTCGTGTGATATTTTCCACTTGGCAGCTTGTATATTATTTTGATGCATGAGTTGCCGAGAATATGTACTATTCATGATCTAGAAAATATACTACAGCATATTTACCGTTTGAGTTTTGATAAATCTTTTTCGTGCTGTAGCAGATGACTTAAAGGAGTAGTTGACTTTTAAAAAAAAAAACTTTTGCTGATAAATTACTCACCCCCGTCATCCAAGATGTCCATGTCTTTCTTTCTTCAGTCGAAAAGAAATGAAGGTTTTTGATGAAAACATTCCAGGATTTTCTCCATATAATGGACTTCAATGGGAACCAAACGGTTCACGGTTCAAATGAGAGTTTCAGTGCAGCTTTAAAGGGCTTTAAACGACACCAGACGATGAATAAGGGTCTTATCTAGCGAAACGATCGGCCATTTCAAAAATGTATAAAAAAGTTTAAGTTTCATAAGCACAAATGCTCGCCTTGGTCTGTTCTGTGATGAGCGTTTGTGACTCTCCTGTTCAAACTTGTTCATCAAAATGAACAAATCTTTTTTCGAGTCATGACTCAATGGGTCCTAGAGAAGACCCTTATTCATCGTCTGGTGTCGTTTAAAGCCCTCTGAAGCGGTACTGAAACTCTCAATTGGACCTTGAACCTTTTGGTTCCCAATGAGGTCCATAATATGGAGAAAATCCATGAAAATTAATTTCATTTCGACTGAAGAAAGACGTGGGCAACTTAGACGACATGGGGGTGAGTAAATTATCAGCAAAAGTTTTTTTAAAAGTGAACTACTTAAGCCTAGTTCACACTACATGATTTTAAAATGTCGGGCTGAACTGTGCAGTTTACACTACATGACTTGCTCTCAGTGAAATCATGAGTGTTCAAGTTGTTTAGCTGTTCACACCACACAACACAGCGTGATTGATCCACAACAGGAGGTAACTCACTACACGAGTTAACAACGCACTACATAGAGATACAACCACGATCGGATGATAAGAGCATATCATTTGTGACTCAATGAGAGCTGTTTCAGTACTATAGTACGGTCTAAATCCTGAAAATAATCAAACAAATAACGAGTTGACAACAACACGATTCTATCTGGTCTAGAAACCATGTTTTGTCACGAAAAACCACGCAATAAAACGAAACAGAAATGACGCGAAACTGCAGAGAAGAACACAACACGCGAATATGGACGTCAGACAGAAACTAGTGCTGCACACTGTTTGCTCGACGATATGCTCTGAGAAAAAAAAAATGCAAAAAAGAAAAAGTAAGATTTACCTGGTGTCCTCAACCCATGCGTTGATTGGCTGTACTCATGACATCACTGAGATTGAGTCGCGCGACTGCTCGAGATATCTAGCATGCTAGATATTTTTCTGAGCTCGGTGACCTGTCTGCGAGCTGTCTTTGATGCGTTGTTGGCTCTTTCACACTATCGGATTGGCGAGCGTTAATAGTCCGCTAATCGCCCGCGATTTGCACGCGATAACACCCTGACTTGTCGGCGACTCAACGATTTGCAAATCGGGCTTAAAATCACGTAGTGTGAACTAGGCTTTAGTTTTAGCTAAAAAAAACAGGTCTGGATCTCCATCTTTTTACCACATTCAGACAACAAAAGCACTTGAACGCAACACACTGGTAAATACCAGTTCACAAGTGGAGCATAAAAAATATGCTTGGTGAGCATAAAATAAAAGCAAATTTTAGGAAATTTGTCTAAACAACTAATTTCCCCTCAATTGTCTCAAAAAAAGAATAAGGGTACGTCAATTTTGAAGTATTGATAAACAAAAAAAATGGAACAGCAGTAAATGCTGCATAGGACAAAATAACCACATAGTTAAACCACAAAATCTGTCTGAAAGTTGCTATTTAAGAAACCCCTTAAAGAGACTGTAACGCAAAGCGCAGCACATTTACCCTGACAGTGAAAATAAGTCATCTAAATGTTGACCTTTAAAAATGTCACTAGGGAAAGCATTGATAAGTTGAGGATTGAAGAACGCTGGTGCTGGGTAAATGCATCCTGGGAAATGCAAAGTCTCTGCGTTGTTTGCTCAGGTTTTCTGTTTAACGGAGGGATTGAGGAACCTTGACCTCGGACGTTCGAGCAATGTCACGTCCGTCTGCGTTTGCGTATGCAGATGCCCTAATGAGACGGTCATTAAACCGTCGGGACTCCAGTGATACATGCACGTGAGGCCGGTGTACTTTAACTGCACTGTAAACAGGGCAGCCTCAGATAACCAGGCAATAATGAATTGCAAATGGAGCCGGGTTATTGATTGGCCATCGACAGCCAGCGGTGCTGCCAATGTCGATGCTTCATCAAGCGGCTCCCTTTTTGCATGCGGTGGCCTTTGACTGTGAGCTTGTCGTTGTTCTTGTTATCTCGGGAGCTGTGTGTTCGCTGCCGAGGCTTTGCTTCATCCCCACCCCAAAGAAGGCAATTATTTGACAGGCTTTCTTGATAGTTTGGCTTAACGGTATCGTTTTTTTTGAGTGGCAGAGAGGAGGGGACAGTTTGGTGCCCGTTGTGTGACCTGGTCTCTACAGTACCGCACTAATCCCCTTGTCAAAGAGCAAGCTGACAGCACTGGAAATGGCCTGCCCTTTGGTGTGGGCTTTACAGAGCGCCAAGACGCAAGAATCAATCAGATATATCACCTTAACAAGAGGAAAGGGGGCTTTACACTGGCATTGGCCGCAGAACTGATCTAAAGATCTGAAATGATGCTCACCTGCTGCAACATACCTCTGTAGTGCTTAACGTGGTTTAAGTAGGGCATGTTACTGGATCAAAAGTGTTATTAAAAACCAGGGAGGTCTATAATGTTGACATTCCTATTTCTCTAGGGTTCATAAACAGGAAGGAGTGCACAGTACCTGTGTGGACACGGTAGTGGGTCTCTAGCTGGTGTTTGAGGCTGAACTTCTTGCCGCAGCCGTTACATTCATAGGGCTTCTCTCCGGTGTGGATGCGCTTGTGTCCTTTCAGCGTGCTCTCGTCTCGGAAGCAGCTTCCGCAGAATTCGCATTCAAAGGGGTGGTCACCTGCTGAACAAAGGGTCCGGTCAGTATGGTAAATGATGTAAGTTAATGGTAATCATAAACAATAATCACCTTATTTGACCCCTAAATGACACTTAATTAAAGGAGTAGTTTACTTTAAAAAAAAACTTTTGCTGATAATTTACTCACCCCCATGTCATCCAAGATATCCATGTCTTTCTTTCTTCAGTCGAAAAGAAATTAAGGTTTTTGAGGAAAACATTCCAGGATTTTTCTCCATATAATACACTTCAGTGGGAACCAAACGGTTCAAGGTCCAAAAGACAGTTTCAGTGCAAACTGCAAACTGTTCAAAGGGCTTTAAACGATTCCAGACGATGGATAAGGGTCTTATCAAGCGAACAAATCTTTTTTCGTGCCATTTGGTTCATCCGAAGGTTAAAATGAACGAATTGACGCGGAAAAAGATTCAATTCAAACAAGAGAGTAATGAACGCGCATCGCAGAACAGAGCAAGGTTAACATTTGAGTTTATAAAACTTAAACTTTGTTATTTATTTATTAAATGAGCGATCGTTTCGCTTGATAAGACCCTTATTCTTCATCTGAAATCATTTAAAGCCCTTTGAACAGTTTGCAGTTTGCACTGAAACTGTCTTTTGGGCCTTGAACCGTTTGGTTACCAGTAAAGTCCATTATATGGAGAAAAATCCTGGAATGTTTTCATCAAAAACTTTAATTTCTTTTTGACTGAAGAAAAAAAGACAAGGACATCTTGGATGACATGGGGATGAGTAAATTATCAGCAAGTTTTATTTTTTTTTTAAAGTGAACTACTCCTTTAAAGGTGTAATTTCTCTAGTAGCAACAAATGGCAATGTTGCGGTGTTGTGCGGGTTGTGATACTCAAACTACGTTTTGATAGGGCTAAAGAAATACAGTGTTTACACTGACTTTATACTATCAGTTTTACACTGATACACATTGGAAATCAACCCTCCAATGGATTATTTGCACAATTATTTTCCAATGTGTATCAGAAAAATGTCAGAAAAACATGCATTTAAAGGGATACTCCACTTTTTTTGGAAATAGGCTCATTTTACAACTCCCCCAGAGTTTTTTGAATCCATTCAGCCGATCTCCGGTTCTGGCAGTACCCCTTTTAGCATAGCTTAGCATACATCATTGAAGTGCACAAGACCGTTAGCATTTCTCAGAAAAAAATGACCAAAGTGTTTCGTTATTTTTCCTATTTAAAACTTGACTCTTCTTCTATAGTTACATCGTGCATTAAGACCGACGGGAAATGTAAAGTTGCGATTTTCTAGGCTGATATGACTAGGAACTATACTCTCAATTCTGCGTAATAATCAGGAAACTTCACTGTCGTACCATGAGTGTAGCAGGCGCAATGTTATGACGCAGCGCCTGAAAATAGTCCCCAGCTTCCAACGTGACCAGGACTAATATCGCGACTGCTGCAAAAAAACCCTAAAAACTGTAAAACTCAACAGTTTAACTCTAGGAGAGTTGTAAAATGAGCCTATTTCCAAAAAAAGTGGAGTATCCCTTTTAGTAAAAAAACAACAACAACAACCTTGAAGAATAAAAGACAATTTTCAGATATTTCAAAACAAAAAATACCTATACAATATCCCAAGTGATTTTTCACCACTCACAAAGCTATATATAATACTGGATTATGATATTTATTTTAAATTAAGCCATTACACCATCCCCGGTTGTCTGTTATAGGTCATCCTGCCTATATCATCCTGTCTTCCTGCTCTGTAATGGATATTCAGAGGTCAGTAATCAGTGATATTATGATATGCGGGGGTGTTTCTTTTTCTGCTCTCTGCACTAATTGTGTTTCTGTGTCTCCATATCAGCTAACCATATATCACTCTCTCTCCGTACAGATGCGCAACTCTGCCAGGCGTGTAATGTTCCCCATATTTAATGCATTTCACTTCTGTGTGAAGGGTTTAAGTCATCGTCTATGACCTACGCGTTTCATTATCTGGCTGTCCGAGCGGCACCGTGCCTGGGAATAAATTGCATTTCTCGTTATGTACTGTCATGCTCAGACTCTCGCCGCCTCCCGTTACCAGACAATGTCAATTTCCTCAGGCACGTTTTGTGGCGAGACGCAGCTAAACGCCCCACATTTACACGGCTGCTCGGGCTCCACAGTCTTCGCTTTGGCAGTAATGGGGGAGAAAAAAAATGCAGGGAGAAAAAAGACGATGACACGAAACAGTAAAAAAACCCCCACATGATTCAGAAATCAATAAAAGTGACAGTATTTATTTGTGTGCATGAAGTTATCAGTTGCTGAACGAAATTCGGCGCTTCAAACTGCCTCCTCCGCAGAAGAGATCACAATCCATCACGCTCCCTGACTCTCCGGCACGCGACGAGCATAGCAATCGCACCAAATTCACCTGACTTTAATTGTGCCTAAACTGGCTCCTCAACCGAAGACATCTGCGCTAGCCTCCAGAAAACGAACCATGAGTTAAATCCACAGGCTTGCTTCTACCCTCGGTGAAAGCATCTTTAATCTTTATTTGACGAAATAATTTGTGACAGCACTTTTTCGATATCACAAGGCACAAATTCATATCGCCTGGTGCTTTTTTTTTTTTTAAGGCTACCTGTTATGTAAATGGAGCATGTCACTGCAATAAACAGAAAGCAATTTGCTTATCAAATTCTGTTTGGCGGCTTTGCTTTGTTTGGAATACATTAAGCTTTGAGGCAGTAAAGATACAAGGTGATAGATCAAGATGCTGTCAGCGACTGCGTGTTCTTCGGTTCCTTTCTGTGTCTGTGTGCAAGTCTGGTGGCTGCGAGGCACAAAGAGGGCGGGAAAGACATTTGGGAAGCTCGGGGGCTGCCACCTGCGTCCCCGTGCCCCAGGGGACGGCTGCGGTGGCGTACCTGGCCGGGGTCTGCGGGCACCGCCAGCCGCCTGGCAGGACCAAGGCTTACATTAAGGCAGGGGCCGAGTTCATTATGGGCTAAGTAGCATAAATCAAGGATCCATCACTGCCAGGGTCTCGACTGGGCTGCACTATCAAACACAGCTGCGAACACAAAACACCCGCCGCAGATGGAAAATGGGCTCCGAATAAAACACAAGCACAGAACAACAACGGAATATTAACGAGGCACGGCCGGCAGCATGCGGAATCGAGGGTGGGGGGGGGGGGGAAGCGAGGGGGCTGCCATGATTATCAGCCCTAATGGATGCCAGCGTTCGCTCACACTGTGTGCGCCTGTAAACGTACATGAGCAAGTACATTCAAGAACAGAAATTCCTCTCTAAAATCAGCGGAAACGCATGCAATCATTCTCGGAAATCCTGTTAAAATTGGTTTCGCATCAGCATTTAGGACAAGGTATGACTGGGTTTGAATTACTGAGTAATGACTGTGTGGGCCATAATCACTCATTTAAGTTATTTTTGAGTGGGCACCACACACACACACACATGGAGGAAATCAGAGACACGTCAAGCTGTCGCACCTTTGTTTCAGCAAAGTTGTGATTTATCCAGAAAAAAAAAAAACATTGATTTTGCTCACTTGAACCTATATAACTTGTTGTCAAATTATTAGATTTCTACAATTGTATGTATTTAGTGCACTTTTCATTTAATGCACCAATTTATTTGATCAAAACAGCCATATTGTGAAATATTGCAATTTAAAATAACTTGTTTTCTATTTTGATCCATTTTAAAATGTAATTTATTCCTGTGACGGTAAAGCTGGCATTTAAAAGACAGCAGATCTCCGAGGACGACATTTCAAAACCATTAACTATATTTGAGAAAGTCTTTTGAGAAAGTATGTGGTTGAAAGGCAAAGTTGTATAATAGGCCACTTGTTTTTAAAGTAAATCAATGTAAAAACTGTATATACATTAAATGGTAGATGAAATGTTACGCCCTAAATTATTACATGATTAACTAAATGTATTTTTCCATGGACATTTCTGAAAGCTGCTTTGAAACAATATGTATTGTGAAAAGCGCAATACAAATAAATTTGAGTTGAATTGAATATGCTACTAAGTTCACAGTAAGTTGGAAATTTCTGGTGTGGTATAGATGAAATGATACTTGAGCCCTATTGATGGTGTTGTGGGAATAAATAAGATAAAAGGGTTGGGAAACACGGCTCTGAGGAATATCTACTGCTTATCATATCTGCGACTCAGTTTCTAGCGTTAAAAAAAACACTGTGAATGAGATTAAGAAGATCAAAGGAGAATTAAACGCGAGCAGTGAGTCTTCCCTTTTTGTCCTCTTTAAATTACAAATCAGAGACTTATTTTCAGTGGTTTTTGCAAGTGCCAATAGCAGTTTTTCCCTTTCAGCTTCTTGACAAAAGCCCCCACACCACATTAAACGGGGTGCTTGCTAGCGCTCATTGTAATTTAATACACGCCCACGGAGAATTGGGTTCAAACTAGCGCGACGCTGCGTCACAGCCTCTATATCCCTCCGCCTCGTCTGCGGCAAAGCAGACCGGTGACATTTATGCGTCCAGGCGGGAGCGTCAGCTCCGATGAGGACAAGAGAGTACAGTAAGCGCTTGGCCGTCTTGTACCATCAGCCGCCCGATAACGGCCGGGCTTTGCTCATCTCCCTCTTTCGCTTCAAATATTCATTCCCGCCGCCGCCAAGTAAAGCAACTCTGACACATCAGACTGTTATTTAAGGTCAGAGACAAAGGGTGAAAAAGGCTTTCTGGAGAAAATGGGATTCATTTCCAGTGTCTCATATTCGGAGACAGTAATGGAGACCGTTCCCGAGTCGTCGCATCTGCTCAGCCGCGTGCTTGGCCACATGGGGATGAAACCGCCACATAGCAGGGCTAGCACGACCGGGGAGGGTGATATCAACGCTGTCACAAGCCATCACAGCGCTGTGGCCTTTCGCTAAATGACATGTCACTTCAGCCTGCTATCTTCATTCCATCCAGAAGGTGATGGGATGACGGGTGGGAAAAAAAGCCGACACAATGACTGTACCGGGATCCTGATTTAAACACTCTACAGGGTGAATCACATCTCAGCGTGTATAATCATTCGGCTCGACGGATGTGTATAAACCTTCAAAGAATCAAATTAGTATTTCTGATTCATTCCAAAAACGTGGCTCGGTTTCAGCACAAATGCGTGACGTTAAGACACAGAAACTAAAGTGGTATGGAGCTGACGAGAGACCTGTGTGTGAACGGAGATGGCGCTTGAGTGCGGTGTGGCTGGGAAATGTGCGGTTGCACTCGCTGCAGATGTAGCTGCGCACGCCTGCGTGGACCTCCATGTGCTGCTGCAGAGCCGTCTGCGTCTGGAAGCGCTTCCCGCACAGCAAACAGAAGATGGCCATGTCGGATCCTGAGAACAGACAGAGAGAGAGATGTTAGCACGCGTGTACAACACCACACAGTAATACTGGCGCATTTTCTATTTGAAAACGCCTAAATTAGTTTGGCGATGCGTGTTGTGTAGAAACTCTGGTTCTTCTGAATCACTGCAAGAACTGGACAATTAAGCTGAAAGAGACTATGATTCATTTAAAAAAAAAAAAATACACTCAGTCTCAGTGGATCAATAGGAGAATCTCATTCAGTACCACAGGGTGAGATGCACATATAATACAGAGCCACAAGAGGTCAGCGGAAAGATAAAATGAAAGGACAAAAAGACTAGAGCTGTTAGATTCCTAGAATTAATATTACCAAATCAATGAAATCTCCTCGTAAAAAACAAAACAGACTTATACTATGCGTTTAAAGAGGTGCAAAGTGAACAGTTTTCCCTCTCTCTTGCTTAACTCTAATACACAGACACACACTTCACACTTTTTTCAATTATCAGGCTCTAGAAAACTCTGGGGAAAGTGGGAGTGTTTTAAGCTCCGCTTCTATTTCATGAGTCGATAACACATCTTTGGGGCAAAGCTGCCACTAATTTAAAAATCTATGAGGAGCCCCAGTCTCATGTTCATAAAGCTCGATCAATCAGCATTTGCTGGAGAAAAAAAACACAAAAAAAAACGGGAGCGATTGAGAGGATGAGAGGAGGAGTTTGAGGTGAGCGAGAGAAACGACTATTCCTGTTCTTAAATCTCAGACAGTGCAGCTAAATTGCTGCTTCTCTGCAAATAAATACTGACAAGCCTTCCTTCTGGCTTTCTCTCGGCCCAGCCATCTCCCTCCCCCTCTCGCTGTCTCCATCTTTAATGACTCCTTACGTCTCTCGGTTTATCGATGAAAACGAGGGGGGCATTGATTAAGGAAGAAAATCCCAAAGAAGTTTGGGGCTGTGAAATGCAAGTTTGATTCAGGAAGGTTCATGGCAAATCTAAAGGCTGTAAGGAAACATAAAAAAAGCGAATTTTCAAGGGGGTGGGTGGAGGGTGATGAAAGACAGGGTGACAGGAGGAAAGAGGGCAGGGGGGTAGGGAGGAAAGGCCCTGAGGAATGCGAGAGGTTAGGTGGACTCTGACCCAGGGTGCTCAAGGGTCTGGATGAGGTGGAGGGAAAGACTAAACAACATCACCAGTGCAGCTCCGTGATTGCTCTTGAAATCCCACATTAGTGGAGACTGAACGATTTAATGATGATAATTCACCCACTTTTCATTTCAAATATTGCCCTTTTAGTAAAGCTCAATCAGTGACCATGTACTCTGGGCCCATGTCTGTTTTGGCCACACTTCTGATCGATTACATAAAATGCTGTTTTTATTCCATTCAAAAAAAGTAGAAAAGGACAGAAAGTAAGTGATGTTTATCTTTTGTATCATTAAAAATGCATTTAATTGTCACTTCATGTGTATACTGTATGTGATGTGTAATTACTGAATAGTATTAATTAGAAAATAAGTATTAATAATAAAAAAGGATAAAGGGATACAATTTGATTTTGAAACAATCCCAAAGGACCAGTCAAATAACTTCCAGCTCACCCCTTGATGCATCATATTTTTCAAGTAAGAACACTTCCACTGAAGAAATAACACTATTTTGGGAACAGAAGAAGGGCAGGGGGGTGAGTTGATAAAGCGGCAGCCATGAAGGGAAGTGCAGTGTCCATGTGATTGGTGTTAGCTGGAATTAAGTGTTCCTCGGTGTGAAGTAAAGAGCGTCACAAGTAAATGGCCTAGCTGGGAAAAAAACTCTTCTGTGAGGTAGTGAAGGGTAAGGCAGAGAAAAGGAACTAGAGAGAGAGAGCGAGAGAAGTGGCTGACCCACTAGCCTCTATTACAGTGCAAAATTGAGTTGGACAAAGTGACACCTGAATAGAGAACTGGCTTTGGCTGCCGCTGCCTGAATTTTGGCATAATTTACCTCCACTCCTGTGTCTATTTATAAGGGCCTCAGTTGGCTCCATTGCAGTTTTAAGTTAATGGCCCTCAAGAAGCATTGGCCGTTACTTAACAGCGGGTGTGCCACAGCATTTAGGTGATGGGGGTTTCCGCTTACAAGCGAATATGTGCCTGCATCATCCCTGACTAAGATGATAGCCACGTCTAGCATAGTAGCATAACACTAAAACATAATCACAATCATCTTAAGACCCATTGAAACCACTTGACAAAAGCATGTTTCTGTTCTGCATTGACTTATTTGCTGTTGCAACAGTAATGAAGAGCTTTGGTTACATTATAGCCATGTACATGTTTGCAGGGGGAGGGACACTCTCATTCGAGCGAGCATCTGATTGGAAAAAAAAATATGAAAAATGTGCTAAAAGTAGATTTTTCCAACTTTTAGGAGTACACTAGAATGGATGGCTTTAAAGGGATACTCCACTTTTTTTGGAAATGGGCTCATTTTACCACTCCCCCAGAGTTAAAAAGTTGAGTTTTACCGTTTTCGAATGTATTCAGCCGATTTTCTGATATTTAGAAGAATATCAGTAACCAGACAGTTTCTGGTCTCATTGACTTCCATAGTATATTTTTCCTACAATGGAAGTCAATGAGACCAGAAACAGTGGTTACTGATATTCTTCTAAATATCAGAAAATCGGCTGAATGGATTCGAAAACGGTGAAACTCAACTGTTTAACTCTTGGGGAGTTGTAAAATGAGCCTATTTCCAAAAAAGTGGAGTATCCCTTTAAAGTTCATATACATACAACCATTATTATTTCATTTAAGAATTCAGAACAGAAAAAAACCCAACCGTTTACACAAACAAACCGAACAGGGCTGTGATTAAAACTTAATGTGAGAGTTAGATGGTGTAACTGAGTTTCCCACAGGGTCGGAGCCAGCTCTGAGAAACCCCACATGGAGGAGGAGTGCCATTCTAAGCTGGTGAGACCAAAGTCAATTAGTTTGCGTTTCAATTCGCCGGTGCTGATGAAATACAATTCCTGCAGCTCTGTCTGTTGCCACTGCACTGATGTTTGATGTCACCTGTTGCTCAGCGAAGAGCCTGGCACTACATCTCCACTTGGAATGCACTACCTAGATGAGCACAGAGTTTGCAGGATGTTGATGTTTGATGTGATGTGAATCAACAGCGACTGATGCATGTATCTGGTAGTATTGGATTTCGCTTTTATATTATTGCACACTCTTATACAAACAAGTGAGGGATAAATGTACCGTCTCCAAATTGGGTCTTTTATCACCCTGAAGGGGTTTACTTTGCTTGCGATGATTAACTGGCTGTACATCACCTCATGTGTTACATGACTAGTTTAATAAATAAATGAACAAATATGGATTTTAGTTTTGAGACATTTGTACAAGAGTTCAATAAACATGAAGTTACCTTTGAGCAGCTTAGATTTTAGACAATATCAACAGTTACTTTGTCAATTTTTTTCAATCGAGGCATTTGAAGTCAAACCACGATAAACGACAGCGTGTTGACTGAATCGGTGTGTTTTGAATGAATCATTTGAGTGAATGATGTACTGATGTATTCAAAGACAGTCATATATTCGATTCCTGAATGAATAAGTGTGTTTGCACAAATTGGTGGAGAGAACAATTCAATGACTCCGTTATTCAATGCTCTTTTTTCTGAATAAATGTGTTTTTGAATGAATTGTTTGAATAAATGATTCAGTCACTCATTCATTTGAGTCACTGAAATTGAGTTGGATTTGTATGAATTTGAGTTGAGACATTTGTACAAGAGTTCAATAAACATGAAGTTACTATTGAGCAACTTAGATTTTAGACAATATCAAGTTACTTTGTCAATTTTTGTTCTGCCAAAAGAAATGGTGCCATATCAAGTCAAATCACGATCAACGACAGCGTGTTGACTGAATCAGAATGATTTGAATGAATCATTTGAGTGAATGATGCATTGATGTATTCAAAGACAGTCATAGATTCCATTCCCGAATGAATAAGTGTGTTTGAACAAATTGGTGGAGTGAACAATTCAATGACTCAGTTATTCAATGCTCTTTCTTTCTGAATAAATCTGTGTTTTTGAATGAATTGTTTGAATAAATGATCCAGTCACTCATTTATTTAAATCACTGGAATTGTGTTGGATTTGTATGAGTTTGAGGTTTGAGACATTTCTACAAGAGTTCAATAGCCATGAAGTTACTTTTGAGCAATTTAGATTTTAGACAATATCAACAGTTACTCTGTCAATTTTATGTTTAAGAATCAGTATGTTTTGAATGAATCATTTGAGTGAATGATGTACTGATGTATCCAAAGACAGTCATAGATTCCATTCCCGAATGAATAAGAGTGTTTGAACAAATTGGTGGAGTGAACAATTCAGTGAATGTTATTCAATGCTCTTTTTTCTGAACAAATCTGTGTTTTTGAATGAATTGTTTGAATAAATGATTCAGTCACTCGTTTATTTGAGTCAATGAAATTGACTCAACTAATTCACATTAATATTTCAAACAATAATGACCCCCAATAACAATTTGGTGCCTTTCCAGACAGAAAAGGCAGACAGACAGATTAGATGTGTCAGCAAAGCGAACAGATTTGCGTCATACTTGAGTGCCGGGAAAGCCAGAGCCAAGCAGTCTATGTACACTATGGTATGTGTGAAGCTTATGAGAGAAGATCAGGTCTGAAAGCAGGAAGGGAGCAGGGGTCATGGGGGTAAATGTTTGGGCCAGGTGGGGGGTAGGGCTGCCCGGGCGTTGCGGGGCAGAGGGGGCCTTGGCAGCCCCGCTGAGCCTGGGGGACAATGGGTGCTAGCAGGGGCTCCGGAGGGCGTGACAATATGGTCAGACTGGTGCCAAAACTACACAACCCCTTGAACGTACACGGGGGGTGCACATAGCCTCAAAAGAAAGCCCAAATATTTAGTCCCACAATTAGTATAATGTGCAAAACACAGAACTTTGGCTCAGTGTGAAATGGGGCTATCAAGAGAAATTTACCAT